GACCCCAGACGGAGGAGATGCGGCTCTGCGATCTGCTCCCTGAGGTGGTCCCAGGGAGAATGGACTGTCCAGGCGGCGTTGGCCCGCCCCCTGCTCGGAGCCCGCCAAACCGTCCCGCGCTCTGAGATCCAGGCGTTTTGTTTAGCTTTGGAAGAGATCCCTGGGCCGTTCGTTTTCGTCACTGATCATTTGTCGGTCGCTAAGAAGTGGCGTTTTAAAATGGAGAACCCGAGCCCGACTGGGGCTAACGAAGATTTGTGGACCAGGGCCCGAGTGTCCTGGAGTTCTAGGCCAGAGACCGCCACTGTCGAAGTGCAGTGGACACCCTCTCACACGGATGAATCCCCAGAGCTGCTGACTACCGAGCTGCAGTTAGAGATTGCGGTGGGTAACGCGGTAGCTGATATATGGGCGGGAGAGGGTGCGGAGCTGGCTTGGGAGTTCGGTTTGGTTGGGGAGAACCCGCAGACAGATAGAATTGATGCCATAGCCAGTTTAGTGCGTCGGCGCGCGAGACGAGCGTTGGCCGACTCAGCGGGTGCAGAAGTCCAAGCGAAGAATGGAAGGCAGGAGGTTGCGAAGCGACCCCCAGCCAACAAGTGTGCTGTAGCAGTTCGAGAGTCGGCCCACCGCCTTGAGAAGTCGGGCACGGGTTGGAGGTGTGCGGTGTGCGATCAGGTGGTGCCAGGCTCTCGACTGCTCACGTTCTCGGCCACCCCTTGCGCTGGCAGGGCCATCCCAGAGGGACAGCTGCCCCCAGAGGTGATTCAGGCCCCCAGGAGCTTCGTTGCGGGGGCCTTTGAGTTTCACGAAACTCATGCGATGTTTTATGTGGACAAGTGGTTCATGCATGCCTGTAGTAAGTGTGGTCGTTATGCCACGGTCGACGGTAGGCAGATCAGCAAGCGGTGCGAGGGATTGACCCCCAAGGGGACCGAGAACCTCGCTCGAATTCGGAAGGGTATTTATCCCAGGAGGGAGGGGCCCCCTCAAGCCGTAGTGGAGGCTATGGCGGCGCGTGATCGTGAGAGGGTGGTGTCGTCTCACGTCGGTCGTTCGTGCGAAGGAGAAGCGCCTGGGGGCCCCTCCCTCGCCCCTCCCCCACCGCCCGTCCCAGCGGAGGCTAGGCCTGCCGCCCAGGTGAGTGCAGCACAGCTTCGAAGTGCTCAGGCTCTACGACGGGAGCCGCCCCGCGTTTTTGGGGCGGTGGGAGGAGGGGGCGATTCAGGCAGTTCAGACTAACCCCTGAGGAGGGTAATTTTTGGAGGACAGAGGTCCGCTCTCATAGCATTCCCATAGCATTCCTCCTCCTCCTCCTCTGCGACCCGCTCGAAGGGGCCGTCTGGGCCGATGTCGTCCACGGCCTCCAGCTCCCACAGGCGGGGGGTTGCGCTTCAACATGCGACGGCGGGAGCCCAGATCCGCGCCCGTGAACAGCCCTACGGCTAGCGCCAGCTTCGCGACCTCCTCTGCTCCTTGCCGTTGCTCGCGAACCACGCCGCCCGTATCGCGTGGTTCCCGTCCACGAGGTAGCAGGCCCCACAGTCCTCGGGCCCGCCGGCTGCCACATGGGCGAGCGGCTCGCCCCACGCGCGGCGCCAGCTCGCGATCCGGGTCGCCCAGCTCCACCAGGTCGTCCTTGATGTCCCTGTTCTCCCCGAGCAGCTCCTGCAGCAGCACATGCGCGTAGGGGTAGGGGAGCAGCTCGCGCGTCTCCCTGGCCACCACCAGTACACCCACTGCGGCCACCTGCGTGATCATCTTGTCGTGGCTGCCCAGGCTGCCTCCTGCCGGAGCCACTGGCGTCACTGCCGCGATGGCGACCATCGCAGCGGCTCCGCCCGACTGGACCGGGCTCGCCTCGGGCCCGTCGCCCGCGTCCTCGCGAGCCCGAAACGGCTGCGGCACGGCGTGCACTGGGGGAGCAGAGGATGAGGGCGACGGAGTTGGCGATAGCACCACCTGTATCCCTCCGCACCTGGACCCGACGCTCCACGACTTGTTGTCCGACTCCGGGGTGTCTGCGGGACCGACGCGACTGAGGACGACCACGTGTGCTGCCCACTCTCCCCCGTAGCTGACGATGACGACGGGATACTTTGCGACTCGATCGGGCACGACAGCGACACTACTACGTGCGACTCGCCGTCGATGCACATGCCACAACGCCGGCCTGGCCTTGCCCAAGGCGGACGGCCGGGTGCCAACGACGACCGGGCGGACGGGTACGGGAAGTCGTCGTCCTCCCCAGGTCGGCTACGCCCCTCGCGTCGGGTGCCATGAGAGCGCGGCCTTGAGCCATGCCCTCTGCGAAGGACTGTTGTCTCCGGTGGTCCTCCCACAGATAGCCGTGGAAGGCGCCCGTCGTCCAGCGACCGAAGCGCTCGACCGCTTCCAAGTCGCGGGCGGGCGCGGCAGAGGGCGGTCGCTCCCCCCATGCGGAGGGAGCGCGACCCCAATTTGGCCCCCTTCCGCCCCGCGCGCCGGCGTGGCCAGCCGCAGTGGCCCCTGCACCTCGCCTCGCGTCACTGCACGGCCACTCGCGTGCCGAAAAGAGGGGAGGCCCGGTTCGAGGCCGCGCTCAAACCGTTGAAGGTACTCACGCTGCAGCTCCGCCAGCGCGCTCAGCACGCACAGCGGGCGCTCCGAGCGGAAGTGGTTGCGGTGACATCCCGCGTCGCACTGGTCCGTCTTGGTGGACGTGATCGTCAGTGCGATCTCGTCGCAGCTGCCCGGCCACCCCTCCGGGGATCCGTTCCGTAGGCCCTGGATGTCGATGCCAAGTGCGACGCGGTCCAGGCTCCAGGACTTGTCGGGCTTCACCAAGTACTCCGACGCTCTCAGCATGAATAAGTATCCGGTCACCAGGGCCCCCCACCAGAGGACCACAGCCTCGGCTCGAGGCTCGGCCCCAGGGCTGAAGAAGTATTCTTTAAGCCACATCAGCATCCGCGGGGTTGCGGGCAGCTTCCGCCTCACCTTGCCACCCCAGCGTCGTAAGCCCTCCATCGTGGTCCACAGACGCCGACGGTCAGCGGTGACGCCCCCAAACCCGGCCAACGCATGGCAAACAGCTTCTGACGGATGGTGCGTCGTACAGGAACACCACGTAGCGTATCAAGTCGTCCTCATCGGCCAGCCTCTCCTCCCGCGTCTCCCCCTGCAGGTGCGGACTGTTGTCCTTCAGCTACCTCCATAGCAGCCAGCTCCTCCATCCGGCCTGGTAGGTAGCACGGGCCCCCTCGGCTAACTTCGCCAACGTCGCCTCCGTCGCCACGCGGTCGAGGCCCCGTGCCTCGTCCACTGCCTCGAGGCCAGGGCGCGCCAGGCGGCCGACGGGCACAGCCCTGTGGCTAGAGCCTCGCGGCTGCGGAGCCGAAGTGGGCACCGCAAAGTCCCTCGCTCCCGCCGCGCACAGAACCTGCAGTCCCTGACTCCGGATCCGCCCCACTTTGGGGAAATTCGTAGGTAGGGCTTGGAATTTCCGCCTTACTTTTCAAGCCCCGCTGATGCCAATTTCCGCCCTACTTTTCTGCTGCTGTTTCCGCCCCACTTCTGCGGATTTCCGCTCTACTTTATGTTGGGTGCAGAAATTTCCGCCCTATTTGTTCGGCTTCTTATAAGTGGATTTCCGACGCAAATTTAAGTTGGGGAAAAAACCAGAGTAGGGCGGATCTGGAGTCAGGGGTCTCAGCAGCCAGACCATATACAATTGTTGACGCTTCGCGTATCCCCACCAGCCCATCCAGAAACGATGCCCAGGGGAGTTGAGGTGATCAGGGAAGTCGGGGAGCATGCAGAATAACAAAGGGCGGGGGAAGCTGTCACGTACCCCACGAGGGGGAGGATGGAGAAGGAATCCTCGTCGGAGGGGGAGGGGGAGGAAGAGGAGGAGGAGGAGGAGGAGGAGGATGAGGAGGAGGATGTGGAGTAGGGAGAGGACGAGGAGGACGAGAAGGAGGAGAAGGAGCAGAGGGAGGAGAAGGAGGAGAAGGAGGAGAAGGAGGAGGAGGAAGAGGGGGATGAGAAATTGAAGAGGACGGCGAACCGAAGAGCCAGAAGCGTCTTAAATGCATTTCGGAGATCTTCTTGAGGCTTCTTGGGGGTCTCTTGGGAGCCTCTTGGAGGCCTCTTGGGCGCCTCTTGGGGCCGTCTGGGCGCCTCTTGGGGCGCTCTTGGGGCGCTCTTGGGGGCTGTAGGGGCGCTCTTGGGGCCATCTTGGAGGAGATCGATCAACGAAGGGGGGTTCCCTAATTAGCCTCCCCCCTCAGGAGCTCCAAACATCGCCTCTTGGGGCGCTCTTGGGGCGCTCTTGGAGCGCTCTTGGGCGCTCTTGGGGCCGTCTTGGGGCTCTCTTGGGCCTCTTGTGGGGCCCTCTTGGGCCATCTTGGAGCCATCTTGAGGCCTTGGATGGCCATCGGAAGCGAAACGGGGAGAAAGCACAAAGTATTGATTTTCCCAAGGTTTTGGGACGATTTGGGCCTCTTCGGGGCCTCCTTGGGGAGCTCTTTGGCCACTTACAGCCGTCTTGGGGCCGTCTTTGGGCCTCTTGGAACCATCTTAGGAGCCATCTCGAGCGATCTTGTGCTATCTTGAGCCATCTTGGAGCTCATCTTGGGCTCTCTGACGCGCTCTTGAAGCCATCTTGGGGCCAAGCCCTCAGCGCCGCCTTCCCCCCCCCCCTCCTCTCTCCGCCCCCCGCCCCCTTGGGCCTCTCTCCGCGCCTGCCCCTCTGCGCTTCGGTCCTCCCTCCGGCCCCCCTTTGCCAGGAATCCGGCCCCCTGCCCGCCCCGATCTGGGAATCCGGCCCCTCCCCCGCCGCCCTCTCGGTCTCGCCATCGCTTCCCTTTGCACCCCCCCCCTCTCGATTTCGATTTCCCTCCCCCCTCTCTCGCCATCGCTTCCCCTTGCATCCCCCCTCTCGATTCCCCCCCCCCCCCCTTCCCCTCGTCGGCGTGACCCCCCCCACCTATCTTTTGACCCCCCCCCCTCTTTGCGAGGCACGGTGGGAGAGCTGCGGCGGCCTGGAGCTCGACCCCGTGCTCGGCAGTGGAGCGGTCGTCCTGATGGACGCGGAGTGGATGGTGAGGCGAGCGCGCACTGGCGGCGTCCTCGAGCCGCGCCAGGCGTTGCCGCCGACGGCCTTCATTTCCCACAGCGCCGTCAAAGCCGCCAGTAATGATCAAATAGACATCGATTTGCTGCACATCGCGTTCATATCACACTGCTGGCTGCAGGCGAACCACCCGGATCCACGCGGGCACAACCTGCGCATCGTGGGCCAGGCCCTGCAGCTGCTGCTGGGCTATTTCAGGGGCCGCTGGGGTGTATTCATGGACTTCTGCTGCATCCATCAAAACTGCAGGGACCGCGAGGGCGTTCCCCAGCAGCACACCTACCAGCGGCTCGAAGGCTCAGATTCGTTCGAGGACGATGCCCTCGGCCGCTTCGAGCTGGAGCATGCGCTCTTCAAGGAGGCATTGGGGAGCCTGGGGAGCTTCTACTCCCACCCCGCCACTGTCGTCTTCATGCTGACGCGGTTTCCAGATGATTACGGCGATGCTGCAAAGTACACCCGGTCGGGCAACACGGAGCAGTACTTCAACCGTGGCTGGTGCTTCTGCGAGTCCTCCTGGGGGATGCTGACGAAGCCGTCTTTCTTGCTCTTGGACCTCGGCCGATGCACGGGAGCGGAGACCCACTACGGGGAGTTGCTGGAGACCTGCCGCGCGGGGCGCCGGGCGCCCCTCCTGCCCGACGCCTTCGACGAGGAGCTGCAGAGCAAGGGCTTCACCAACGGCAAGGACGACCGGCCCCGGGTCGCCGAGCTCTACCGCTCCGCCTTCGCGCAGCGCTTCGAGGCCGCGGAGGAGCTGCTCTACGGCGGGCTGCAGTGGGGGGACGAGGAGGCGCAGCAGCTGGCCGCCGTGCTCGCCTCGGGCGCGCTGCCCCAGCTGCAGGAGCTCGACCTCGGCGACAACCGCGTGGGCGACGAGGGCGCCGCGCGGCTGGCGGAGGCCCTGCGCGCCCCGGGCGCGCTGCCCCAGCTGCAGGAGCTCTACCTCGGCAACAACCCGCTCGGCGTCGGCGGCCGGGCGGCGCTGCGCGCCGCGTGGGCGGAGGCCGGGCGCCCGCATGACGGCCTGTGGCTCGGCTACTGAGGAGGGCCGGGCGCGGCGCGGCGCGCGGCCGTCCGAGGCGCGCGGCGCGAGAGGCCTCGCCGCCTCCGCCGCCCTCCCGGGGCCCTGCCCCTCTGCCCTCCTCCCCTCCTCCGCGTCTCCTCCTTGCGCTCCGTCCGCTCCTCCGCGTCTCCTCCTGCCGCTCCTCCCTGCCTTCTCCGGCGTCGCTGCTCATTCCTCCTCTTCCTCCTCCTCCTCCTCCTCCTCCTCCTCCTCCTGCCTCCTCGTGCTCCTCCGGGCTCGTTTCTGTTCTCCCCCCGCCCCCCGTGTTTTTTGTTCGGCCCCCCCACCGGATGTCGTTCGGGGTGGTCTCTTCATTTTTGCCCCTCGGAGTTTTTTCCTTCCCCTCGCTGGGGGGGTGGGGTCCGCGGTGTCCCCCCCGCCCTCCTCTCGGGGTCTCTTTCTGTGCCCTCGGAGTCTTAGTTCTTTCCCTTGGGGTCGCTTGCTTTCCCCATCGTGTCTTCGTTCCCCCCCATCGCGTATTTTTCTGTTCCCTCCTGCTCCTCTTTCCTCCCCTCCTTCCTTGTCTTTGCTCCCCTCCCCGCGCCCTCTTGGGCCGTCTCGGAGCCGAGCTCTTGGGCCGTCTTGGGGCCCGTGGGCCGCGTGATTCTAAAGAATACGAGGAAGCAGGCCATGGGAGCCGCCCGGGGGCCGCTTCACTCGAACAAAAACTATGGAAAACTGTCCAGTAGACCGATTTGCCCAGTCCTGCCCCCTCCGCCGGACCCCCTCTCCAAAATGGCTTCGCCCCCTACGAAATGTCTCTCGCTCCGCTCTTTCCGTCACCTGGGCTGGACACTGTGAAGCCCAAAGAAGCTAATCTGCTGAACACGTACGTTTTTCGGAGGGAATGGGGCGATGTTTTGCCTCCTGGGGGCTCCCTTGGGGGCCTCCTGCGGCGTCTTGGGAGTCTCTTGGGCCGTCTCAACGCCATAATTATTAGGCCCTCTTGAAGCGTTCCTGGGCCGTGTTCGGGCCCTCGTGGACCTCTCCGATGCCGTCTTGGAGGTAGAGGCGCTCTTAGGGCTGACTTGGGCCGTCTTGGGCCGAAAATTGTCAAAATTAGGGCCATCAGACCTGGGGCCGGCACAGAAACGGAAAGGGCGCTGCAGCAACTTGACCGAAATTACGCACACCACCGTTCGTACTGGGAGCCTTGGGCTGGGCGCATGAGCTGGGCGGGAAGCCTGTGAAGGCTTCCCAAGACGTTTCACGTCGTCGTGCGTATGGGGGTGGGGACCTTGTGTGTCCGTCACTGGGCCGTGTGTGGGCCTCAGGCCGTTCGCTGTTGGGAGCCTTGGTGTGAAAAACTTTTTGCGTTACCGAACGCTCTTTTACTTGGCGTCTCTGGGCCTTCTTGGGGGTCCACCGCGACCCACCCGCGAGCCACCCGCGACCCACCCTGCGACCCACCCAAAATTTTCGGCGCCTGCGGCGGGTTTCTTTTGCATTCGTATCAGGTGGAGAACCTGCGACCCACCCGCGACCCAGACCGCTTTCAGTGTACAAATCAAAATTTTCGGCGCCTGCGGCGGGCTGTTTTTGAATTCCTTCCAGGTGGAAGTGGAGAGCCCGCGACCGACCCGCGACCCAAACTACGTTCACTGAACAAGCCACAACTTTGGCGCCTGCGGCGGGCTTCTTTTGCATTCGTTCCAGGAGGACAACCTGCGACCCAAACCGCGTTCAGTGTACAAATCAAATTTTCGGCGCCTGCGGCGGGCTGTTTCTGAATTCCTTCAGGTGGAGGTGGAGAGCCCGCGACCCACCCGCGACCCAAAGTACGTTCACTGAACAAGCCAAAGATTCGGCGCCTGCGGCGGGCTTCTTTTGCATTCGTTCCGGGTGGCCCACCAGCGATCCCCCCCGCGCTGAACTTGTCAGAGCACGTAAATCGGCGCTTGCGGCGGGTTTGCTCGCATTGGTTTGTGAAAGCGCTCTCGTGCCATTCCCCCGATCGGGCCCACGTTGACTCTACAACAACACATCGGCGCCTGCGGCGGGGCTGTGTCTGAACACGTTCATTGACAATCCAGTTGCCTGCTGCCGCGGAGGAGGGAAGGAGGAGCAGGGCGAGGAGCAGGAGGAGGAAGACGACGACGACGACGACGACGACGACGACGACGACGACGACGACGACGACGAGGACGAGGACGAGGACGAGGACGAAGAGGAGGCCGACGACGAGGGCGAGGAGGAAATGGGAGGAAAAGGAGGGGGGACGGAGGGGGACGACGAGAAAGGAGGGAGGAGGAGGGGGAGGAGGAGGAGGAGGAGGAGGAGGACGACGACGACGACGGAAAGGAGGAGGGGTGAGGATCGGGATGGAGGAGGAAGAGGAGGAGGAGGAGGAGAAAGAGGGGGAGGAAGAGGAGGATGAGGAGGAAAAGGAGGAAGAGGAGGATGAGGTGGAGGAGGAGGCGGACGACGACGACGACGATGAGGACGAGGACGTGGACGAGGAAGAGGAGGAGGAGGAGCAGGAGGAGGAGGAGGAGGAGGAGGAGGAGGAGGGTGCCATCGACAGGGAAGGTGCGGGCCACGAGGTCCGCTGGCTCGACGCCCGCGTCCGCCCCCTCACTCTTATCCGCAATTGCGGGGTGCTGCGTAGGGTGCAGGGTCCTTCAAACAGTACACAGAAGGTCCAGGAGGGTGGGGGTGTCAGAGGGAGTGTGGGGACCCAGCGTCTTGTTTTGTAGGGTGCATGGTCCCTAAAACAGTACACACAGAAGGTCCAGGAGGGTGGTTCCAAGAGCAGAGATCCCGAGGGATGGGCTGGAGGTCTGGGGATGTCAGACGTGGTAGGGGCAGTGTGAAGGTCAGGGTGGGTTCCAGACCAGGAATTGCCGTGCGGGGCGCGGAAATTACGGGGTGGGGGGCTAGAGAACAGGACGTAGTGTCTCTAACCTGGCCCTTCATTTCACACGCCTCTGGGGTTGGCGGATATGTGGGATGAGGTGAGACCGCGAAAGCGTTTGCGAGGGAAGGTTAGCCTCGCCGCCGTCGCCCTCTGCCAAACCCAGGCTGGCTGAGGCGACCTTGGGGGCTCGGAATTCTATTTCGTCTGCACAGACGGCTTCCCATCTAGCCTCGTCTCCCCAAACAAATGTAGATGTGTGGGTGCCTGCACACATACGTGCATCTTGGGAGTGGCTCCTTGGTGAGCCCAAAGCTCAGCAGGAGGATCCCACGTCTGCGGAGGGGCACACGGGACGGTGTGTGGGGGCGCGGGCACCACAGGGCGTTGTCGGGAAAGCCGAGATGGCTTCGAGATGGCCGGGCCAGAGAAGAGGCTCCCCAGAAGCTCCGAGAGGGCCCCAAGAGTACGTCCAGAGGCCCCGACCAGGAGAATTCATTTTCGCTGTTTCGATGTCCGGTTTCCCTCCATGTTTGTTTTCGAAGCGTCCACGACGGCCCAAGAGGCGTCCATGATCGCCCCAGGACGCCCCAAAAGAACCACCCACGGTTTTCTATCCGACCCCCAAACCCAAGAGGCTTCCAAGAGAGCCAAGACAGTTTTTAAGATAGCCCACGATGGCTCCAAGAGGGTCGCACAGGCTCGCAAGAAACTTTCCGAGGGCCCCAGGAGGACATCACAGAGGCCTCCGACAGGCTAGCATCATTGATATGTTGCATGCGTTCTGCTTTGGGCGTCCTCGCCTCTTTTTGATTGAATGGCGTTTGCGACGGTTTCAGGCCTCCAGGATCGTCCCAAGCCGGCCCAACAGGGTCCCACGAAGCCCTCCAGCTGGCCCGAGAGATGAGCGCAAGCCAAGAGGCTTCCAAAAGAGCCCCAAGAGTCCCTGGACGTCTGCGGCAAGACGGCCAAGATGGCCCAAGATGGCACTAAGAGGATCGACGAGGCTCCAAAGACGTTCCGAGAAAGCCCCAGGAGGATGCCCCAGGGGCTCCCAGCAAGCGGTTTCGCTGATTCGTCAAAATTTTGCTTTGTGATATGTCACAGTTCTCCCCCTCTTGTGGCTGGTAGAGCGTCCACAAGGGCCCTGCAGGCCTCCAAGATTGCCCCGCCACGGCTCCAGAGGGCCCCTGAGAGGCTCTCCAGCGGGCCGAAAGAGCCCCAAGAGATCTTAATACGACGCCGAGATGCCAGCAGGACCCCAAGACGGCCTCAGTGGGGCCAAGATGGCGCTGGCAAGCCTCCCTGGGGACTCGCGGCAGGCCCGGGGAGCCCACAAAAGACCATCACAGGGAGCCAAGGCCGCCCCCCTAACGCTCAAGAGCGCTCCAGTGTGCACAACCGCCGCTGCTCCGCGAGGGCCACAGCTCATCCCCACGACTCTCCTCCCCTCCCACCAGCACAAGAACTTCCCCACGAGTGCACACCAGTGTTGCCTGAACATGAAACCCAGCGCCTTCCGGAACACGTCCGCCACGTCCGCCAGAGCCCCGCAGTGGGGGGGGCACAGGGGCATGAGCGGACGAGACGTGATGGACAGGGTCAAAGGACAGGCGGAGAGGGAAGAGCGCAGAGAGGGAGGCGGAGGATGTCGGAAAAGGGGATCCTGTGGGGGAGCCTGCGGAGGCACCTGGGCACAGCCTGCCCTGCCCCAAGGTGGCTCCATAGTGCCTGGAGCTGCCCCACGGGGGTTCCCATAATCCCCCCCGAACGCTCGAAAGGCCCCCACTGGTGCCCTGGATGGCGCTCCCCCCTGCCCCGCCCCGCGACGGCCACAGGAGAGCCGCAGCAGCACCCGCCAACTGCCGCAAAGAGACCAGAAGGGGAGTCGGGGCGGAGGAGCGGGGCGTGCGCAGTAGGGTCATCAGCTGCTGTCACTGCTGCTGGTACACGCCGATCCTATTTCAAGAATCGATATGCTTTTGCTGTGGCTCGTTATTCTCTGGGAGGGCCTGAGCCCGATCTACTTCATCCGCCTTCCTACTTCATGTTTTTACCCACTTCTTCCGACCGACGGGTAATGAGCGTGGTGGGGGGTATCACGGGATTCTGGGGCGGGCCCAGGCTGCTGGGAATTACTTGCCTGGGGGGGCAGGGTATGCCGGGGCCTGCCAGCCAGGGCCTAAGGTCGTTTTCAACCTGTTCGGTGCAAGGTTGGACCACTGCCTTGAGTGAATGACGTAGGAGCGCCCGTGCGCTGTGTCTGGTGCATCGTCCACGACGGACCGCTGCACTTCCAAGTCTATAATGATTCGGATATTTGTTTCTCGGCGCCTACCCTACAGAATATGCCGCATCCAATACTGGGATTGCTTTCGACGCCTCGCCTCGCAGTAGCCTTCATCACAATTGCAGGCTGACCACGTGGCCTCAAGGTAGGCTGAGCTTGGTTCCAGAAATATTTTCCATGTGCTCATCTGTTTCCATCCGTGCGATGAGAGAAGTCGGTGTCGGTCGAGTATCTCTCTCGACGCGTACCGAGCACGTCCGTCTTTTTGCCACAGGGGGAAGGAGACAGAGCTCGAAGGGCCAGCTTTCCCCAAAAAGTGAGTGCCGTACCGTGGAGGACTTCGCTCGACTCTCCTGTGGTATCGGCTGCGCGTGCCGGGGTTCCGCCCGGGGCCCGCCTGGTGGGCGCCCTCCCCAGAGCTCAAGCGACGCCCCTCGTGCTGGGAGAGGGCGTGCCTGGCTTTCGCCCTGTGCCCTCGTGCCCGCCTGGCGCTCGTGGCCGCCTCGTGGGCGCTTCGTGCGCTGGGCGGTGTGGAGGGGACGAATGGTTGGGAGCCATGAAAGAACGGGACGGGAGGAAAGGCGAGGAAGAGACATAGGGAGACGGAGAGGAAGGGAGGAGGAGGAGGAGGAGGAGGAGGAGGAGAGGAGGAGGAGGAGGAGGAGGGGGAGGAAGGGGAGGAGGAGGAGGAGGAGGAGGAGGAGGAGGAGGAGGAGGAGGAGGAGGATGCCGAGGGTTCGCCCGGCGCCCGCCCGTGATCGCCAGGTTGGGCGCTGCGTAATGGGGGGATCGTAAGTGGGGGGGCGGCGAGTGTGGTCCGAAAAGGTACCCGAATGGTACCTAAACGAGCCCCCTGGGGCTCTGGAGGGGCCCGAAAGGGGCACGATAAGGGGCCCTTTTTTGACCCCCCCATTTGTGACCCCCCCATTAAGCCACGCCCAAGCCAGGTGGCCGCCTCGTCGGAGCCTCGTGCGCTGGGCGGGTGTGCCGACGTTCCGCGGCGTGCCCGCGCGTCGGCGCCTCGTGGGCGCCTCGTGCAGCGGGCGGCCGTGCGGTTGGCACCGCGCAGTTCTCGCCAGGCGGCTCGCTTGCACCACGCAGCTTGCACCGCAGAGCTTCTCGCACCGCGCAGCCTGCGCCAAACGGACTGCACCGCGCAGCCTGCACCGAGCAGCCTTCACCTCGTGGCCTGCACCGCACAGCTTGCCGCCACATGGATTGCGCTGCATGTGTCGCATCAGGGCTTGCACCACATAGCTTGCACCGCGTAGCTTCCACCACATGGACTGCACTAGGAACACATTGATTGCACCACAGAGCTTGAACATTCACAGTGCAATAACTTACAGTTTGGGGTCCACGGTGGTAAGCATGTGTCCTTCACTCTCCTCCTGCCTCTCCAAGTTGATGGCCTTGCACGTCAGCAGGCCGCTGACGGGAGCATTAGTTCGCCAGCAAGGTCGAGGGATCTTCGGCGCCAGCAGTGAGTGCGTCAAGCGTGTAAACTTGGACGCATATCTGCGGTATTCGAGGTGCCGGCGTGTGGAAGACGCTCTCCGTTCGTCGTCGTCGTCGTCGTCGCCGTCGCCGTTCCCCCCCTTTCCCCGGGCCCTCCCCCTCAAGCGCGCCAGCCAACGCGAAATTCAGCAACGCCGTAGTTGAGTGGAAGGGGCGCATTGCGGAAAACGCGGGGTCGACAGAACCTGCAGTTTGGCGAAGGGTACCTTTGTGCAGCTGCGTGTAGCGCGCAGGGCGTGGCCCTCTCCTCGTATGCTGCACGGCGATGCGTGGTAGTTCGATGAGGAGGAGGAGGAGGAGGAGGAGGAGGAGGAGGAGGGCGCCAGTCACGACGTAGGCCTGGGCGGTTTCAGAGTGTTTCAGCATGGCGTCGAGGAAGCAAGAAGAGGACGACGAATATCTGTCGAGGGGCCCAGGGGCTCCCGAGTCGAGCGCAGGGCTGGGGGCACCCTGGGCCATGGACACCCTCGGCAGCCCCCCGAGAGCATGGCTCGCTCTCCAGGGGTCCCGCTCGTCTGGAAGCGAACCGGCTCCTTCGGGGGCCCCCAAACGGGGTGGCGACCACACCGTGTGGTGAGTCGGTGGGGCTTCGGGGTCCCCGCGCAGTTTTGGGACTCGAGGCCCTCTCCGAGGACGTCTCGGGCGACGGGGGCCTCCGGGGTCCCAAGAGACCGTGCGGCGACAGACCGTGCGCTGAGGCTTTTGGGGGGGTATCGAGAGGTCACCGCACGGCCTGCCGCCGCCACCGTTTCGGGACTCCAAGCTCCTCCGCGCTGGAGGCCTCCTGTCGCCGTCCGAAGAGGGCTCCCCGGATCCCGCTCGCCGTGGCTGCCGCGGCGTCTCTTTTTCGGCCGCCGCCCCTCCCTTGAAGGCCCGGCGGGTCCCGCTCGCGCGCGCCGTCGTGCGATGTTTGCGCCTCGTTGTTTTAGTGCTTCTGGGTCCCTGGGCCCCGCTTGCTCTGGTTGGCGCGGCTCGCCCATCGCCTCCGCCGTAAGGTCCCGTGTCCCGCTTGCTCTGGCCGCTGCGATGTTCGCATCGCCGCCCCAGGGTTCCTGGGCCCGTGGGTTCCGCTTGCTTCGGCTGTTGCTACAGAGCGCCCTGTTTCCGCTCGACCTGTCTGCCGCGTCAGTGTGCCCGGTCCCCGCCCGTGGGGGTCCCCCCGTCCCGCTCTTTTTTTGGCTGCCGCGAGTGTCGCGTCGTGGCCCCTGGGGTCTCTGCTCGGGCTTGCCCTCGGCTGCCGCGCCTCTCTCCAGCCGCTGCCCACCAGAGGAGAAGGAGGAGGAGGAGGAGGAGGAGGAGGAGGAGTGTAAACCCAAGTGCCATCAACGATGTTGGAATTAACCCTCCCTCCAAGCTCCCTCTTCACAGGCCCCTACAACGGTTCATTTCCATTGAGGGAACTGCCTCGTTTGAAGACAGCCGTCGGAAGATCCTGAAGCATGCCAAAAAATTGTTCTCGGGATAATAACGCCACGTATCAACCTGACTGCTGTAGCTTGGCGATCCGGAATCGTGCCATAACGCCATTGTTTGGATTTCAACACTGCGAACCAACATAACTGTTGCACCCGCATAATCTTGAATCCGTCCAAAACACAAGTTTTGATACGTTGATCATGGGAATCCATGAAACTCTTGCAACTGTTTAAAACGGATGTGCGCGGCGCTACGGCGAGAGCCACATTTTGAAAAGGAGCGGCCCTCAATCCGTGAAGTTCTTGTAATTTTTGTAAGACGATTCGTGCGCGGCGCTAAGGCGAGAGCCACATGTTGAAATCCACCCGCCCTCAATCCGACTGCAAATGTAAAAAAACGAGTGTGCACGGCGCTAAGGAGCTCAGGCGAAACGCCCGGCCCGCTCTAAAAATTGGCCTCGGGGTGCGACAGGGAGGAGTTGTCTACAAGGAGGAATGGAGCAGGAGGAAGAGAAGGAGGAGGAGGAGGAGGAGGAGGAGGAGGAGGAGCAGCAGGATGAGGAGGAGGATGATGATGATGGTGAGGAGGAGGAGGAGGAAAAGGATGAGGAGGAGGAGGAGGAGGAGGAGGAGAGAGGAGGAGGAAGAAGGAGGAGGAGAAGGAGGAGGAGGAGGAGAAGGGCGGAGGAGGAGGAGGAGGAGGAGGAGGAGGAGGGAAGGAGGAGGGAGGAGGGAGGAGGGAGGAGGAGGCCCTGGCTCCCGCCTGCCTTCGGCTGCTGCGACGTGCCTGTCGCTGCGCGCGAGGCCCCGGGCCCCACGGGGCCAGGCCGCCCGGCCCTCGCTGCCCCTCGCCCTTGCCGGCTGCTCCTCCTTCTCCTCCTCCTCCTCCTCCTCCTCTTTCTCCTCCTCCTCCTCCTCCTCCTCCTCCTCCTCCTCCTCCTCCTCCCTCTTTCTCCTCCTCCCCTTCTCCTCCTCCTCCTCCTCCTCCTCCTCCTCCTCTTGTCTCCTCCTCTTTCTCCTTCTCCTTCTCCTCTCCTCCTCCTCCTCCTCCTCCTCCTCCTCCTCCTCCTCCTCCTCCACCTCCTCCTCTTTCTCCTCTCCTTCTCCTCCTCCTCCTCCTCCTCCCTTCTCCTCTCTGTCTCCTCCCTTTCTCCTCCTCCTCCTCCTCCTCCTCCTCTGTCTCCTCCCTCTTTTCTACTCCTCCTCCTCCTCCTCCTCCTCCTCCTCCTCCTCTTTCTCCTCCTCACTCCGCCCTCTCTTTCTCCTCCTTCTCCTCTTTTTCCTCCTCCTCCTCCTCCTCCTCCTCCTCCTCCTCCTCCTCTTCCTCTGTCTCCTCCTCTTTCTCCTCCTCCTCCTCCTCCTTCTCCTCCTCCTCCTCCTCCTCCTCCTGTTCCTGGGGCGGCGTGCCCCCTGCTGGGGGGCGGCTGCCGGCCGCGCCCTGGCTGCCGCGCGTGCCTCGTGCGCTCCGGGTTGCCTCCTCGTGCCTCTGCGCGTCCCGCTTGTCTGCTTCGGGCTGTCTTGGCGGATTTGGAGCGCTGGCCGGTGAGCTTGCCTGCCCCCAGGGAGGAGGAGGAGGAGGAGGATTTGACCTGGATCCTGGACCCCATGGGCCAGGTCCTCTTCCTCATTCTCTAGGCCTCCTAGATGGGGTCGGAGTAGATGGGGTCGGAGGATCGGGCCGTATCGGCAACGCATCGCCGATGCGGCTGGATGTGGAGCCCGATGTGCGCCACGTCGACGTCGCCGACGTCGACGATGCACCGCCGGTGCACGATCCTCCGACCACATCTACTCCAACCCCATATAGGAGGCCGCTATGGTGCTGGCCTGCTTGCCCACCCTTCCCGCCGTCTTTCGTCTCGGCTGCGCCTCTGTACCTCCCGGGTCTTTTGTTCGTTCGTTCTGTTGTCGATCAGTCGGCATGTCACCGACCCGTCCCTGGGGTCTGTGCAAGGTCTGCAGGCTTAGGCTTGACAGCTCCCATCGCCCAAATCGGATGAGAGTGCCAGCCTGCGCAGAGCATCGTGCTGCCGAGCGTGTGTACGAGCGAGAGCGAGATGAGCAGACGGACGAGAAGGCAGGCTGACCGGGTGGTAGCAGTCCACAGTCATTTCAAGCTCCTCGCCTTGTATCTTGCCTGGCCTCTTCTGCCGCGCTTGCCGTTGGCGTGGCGGCATCGAGTTGGTTGCCGCATCTCTTTGTAGGCATATTCGCATGCAGGTGGTGAGTTCGTTGCCCAGCTGGAAGTTTACCATCGGCATCGCCATCACGACCGCCCCCACTACCACTACCTGCACCCCCCTGGCCAACGCCGTCAGAACGGGCAATGCTGTCCCCCCCCTTGTCCCACGTAAACTCGGGCGGTGGTGCAGTGGCGAGGGGGCGTGCTTTCTTTTCCCAGGCGGGGGAGTGCACTGCGTGCCGCGTTCCCATGTTTTGTTTTGCCCCCTCTCCTTTCCTCCCTTCCCTCTCTCCTCCCTGTTACTTTCTTCCGGTCGCCTTCGCTCCTGCGGCCTTTCTCCCCGCCTTCTCCTCCCCATTCCTCTCCCTCACCTGTACCTCCTTCTCCCAGTCGATCCTCTGCCGTATAAGGCACTCTTGAAGCCCACCTCGGGACATCTTCGGCCACGTTGGGGCCATAGTCGGCCATCTTGGGGGCCTCAGCGTTCGGGAGATGCGTTGACGAGCCCCCCCTTCAGGAAACCTGATTCTGGACTTCCTGGGAGGTGTTGGAAAAGGGAGAAGAAGGGCAGCCAGCGTCTCGCGCGCCCTGCCATCCCTGGCAAGTGGGATCAGCGGATGTCAGGCGGACGGATGGTGCGGTATTCACTTTCGCACATGACGTCTGGCGCCCCGCAAGTCCTCTGATGATAGTTTGGCCCGGCTCCCAGCTGCTGGCAATCACCTGAGGCGTTGTCATGCCTCTTCTCCCTCCTCCCATCGTGCTTTCTCCTCCCTCCTCCCCCTCCTCCTCTCTAATCCCCCCATGGTGCACCTTCTCCTCGATCCTCGCCCCTCCCCTCTCCTCCTTCCTGCTCTCCGTCCTCTCCGTCCTCCCCGGCCCCTCTCCTCCCACAGTGCCTCGTGCTCCCTCCTCTCCTTCCCGAGGCCTTGCCGCCCAGGCTCGGTGGTCGGCCTCTCGGAAGACGCCGGGGCCCGTCCACGGCCACGCGGTCAGTCGAGAGCTCGCCCTGCCCCAGCCGCGCCGAGAGGGAAGGGAAGGAGGAGGGAGGAGGAGGAGGAGGAGGAGGAGGAGGAGGAGGAGGAGGAGGAGGAGGAGGAGGGGGGGAAGGAGAAGAAGGAAGGAGAAGGAGGAGGGGGGGAAGGGAAGGAGAGGGAAGGAGGAGGAGGAGGAGGAGGAGGAGGAGGGGAAGGAGAAAGAAGGGAAGGAGGAGAGGGGAAGAGGAGGAGGGGGGGATGGAGAGGGGGGAGGAAAGGCCAGGTGCGCGCGCGCGCCACGTTGCGCATTTTTTCTCTATCCGCGGACGCGTGTGGTCGCCGACCTGCAATCCAACAGCAGAAACACCTCGTGCTATGCGAACTTATCGAGGGGGTGAGGAGGAGGAGGAGGAGGAGGAGGAGGAGGAGGAGGAGGAGGACTGAGGAGAAGGAAGAGGAGGACGGAGGAAGACGGAGGATAGAGGGAGGGACGGAGGAGGAGGAGGAGGAGGAGGATGAGGAGGGAGGAGGAGGAAGGAGGAGGAGGAGGAGGAGGAGGAGGAGAAGGCAAGGGTAGGGGGAGGAGGGGGAGGAGGGAGGAGGAGGAGGAGGAGGAGAGGAGGAGGAGGAGGAGGAGGAGGGAGGAGCGGAGGAGGGAGGAGGGAGGAGGGAGGAGGGAGGAGGGAGGAGGGAGGAGGGAGGAGGGAGGGAGGAGGAGGGAGGAGGGAGGAGGAGCGAGGGAGGAGGGAGGAGGGCAGGAGGGAGGGAGGGAGGAGGGAGGAGGGAGGAGGAGGAGGGAGGAGGGAGGAGGGGAGGAGGGAGGGAGGGAGGAGGGAGGAGGGAGGAGGGAGGAGGGAGGAGGGAGGAGGTGAGGACGGGAGGAGGGAGGAGGGAGGAGGGAGGAGGGAGGAGGGAGGAGGGAGGAGGAGGAGGAGGAGGAGGAGGAGGAGGAGGAGGAGGAGGAGGAGAGGAGGAGGGGAGGGGGAGGAGGGAGGAGGAGGAGGAGGAGGAGGAGGAGGAGGAGGAGGAGGAGGAGGAGGATGTGGCGCGTGGGCAGGAGGATGAGGGGGAGAAAAGGGACGCGGACGAACAGCAACAGCAGGAATTGGAGCGGAAGGAGCGGGAGGAACAGGAGGACCAGGGGCAGGCGGAGGAGGGGAAATGAAGGGGGCTACGACGATGACAGGAAAGACAACGATGAAGAACGACTCGGATTCAGAAAAGTGGCCCGTGCTGGGGCGAGAGCGCCACTCTGATTTGCAGGAGCAATCGCCGATCTGAAAACGAGGCCTACGCTGCAGCGGGAGCACCATTTTGAAGCACCGGAGGAAACTGGATTGTGAAACACAACAGAAACATTTTTCGAAATCCTGTGTGGATCCAAAAACAGCACGCGGAGAGTGTCGAACATCTTCTGGACGGAGTCCGGGGGGAGAGGAGAATAGTATTCTACAGGCTTGCGCCACATCCGCCGACCCCTATATCTACGTAATGGCCTTCGGCCCATCCCGCCGCCGTGCCTGGGTTGTGGGTCATAGGCCTCGTGGATGTTCGTTGGGGTCTCGTGGAAGCCTCTCGGGAGCCTCCTAGAGGCAGTTTTGAGGCCTCTGGGGATCGGTTTGGGGCCTCGTTTAGGCATCTGGGGGGGAGCCTCTTGAGGCCTCTTGGGGGGCCTCTTGGGGGCCTCCTCGGGGCTTCTTGGGGCCGGAGGCTCGGATTTTCGGTTCGCGTTCCCCTTCTTGGGCCCCTCTTGAGGCTGTCTGGGGGCCCTCGTGGGCCGTCTTGGGCGCCTCTTAGGCCGTCTTGGGCGCCCTGTGGGGCCGTCTTGGGGCCTTCTTGGAGGCTTCTTGGGCCGTCTTGAAGTGGTCTTGGAGGCTTCGAGGGACGTCATGGAGCGGCGGAAGGCCGAAAAGGCGAGAATACCAAAATCCTCCACAGATTTTCTCAGAACATTTATGATTTGGCCTCTTGGAAGTGCTCTTGGAGGGCTCTTCAGCCGTCTTGGGGCTATTTTGGGCGTCTTGGAGCGATCTTTCAGAGACTCGGGGCCTTCTTGAACCGTCTTGGGTGCGTCTTGGGGCCCTCTTGGGTCGTCGGGGGACCCTTAATCCCCCCAGGCCTGGGGGGGGGGTCAAATTCCCAGTTTTGGGGCCCCTGGGGGGTGGGGGAGAAAGAATTTTTGGAGGGGAATCTCACGCGCCCAGAGACCCACGAGGGGTCGGCGGATCTGCGAAAGCCTTGGAAGTGTGCTCACGCGCCCGCGACCGCCGCTAAACAGGTAGACAAGATGTTCGCGCTCGCGGGCCAGGCGCTAAACGGTAGGTGATGTCGCATGCGAGGTAACCTCTTTTCTCTCCTCTCCACATCCTCCCAGCAGCTTGGCAGCGTGCAGCTAAACATCTGTTCAACTTTTGTGTTTAAACCAGCTGGAGGCGCAAAGTCCGGCCTCACTGAGAGGATCAGCGGGGATAAACATTGAGCAGTTGTTTGCATGGCTAATTTAACCTGTGTGTTCAGTCGGATCCGCAAAGGACGGCCTCACTGAGAGGATCGACTGTTTAAACGCAGATTTTAAACAGTTGAATTCGTTTCGCTTTTAACCCTTCGCTGTACGCTGCGCACTGGCGAAAGCGGTCTGGGTACATGCCCTAACGTCCTGCTCTTTCTCTTTCTCCTCTCGTTCCTCTTCGTCTCACTCCTCGACGACGACGACAACATCGACGGACGACGACGACGTCGACGACGACGACGACGACGACGGGCGACGGACGACGGACGACGGACGACGGACGACGGACGAGGGACGAGGGACGACGGACGACGGACGACGACGACGACGACGACGACGACGACGACGACGACGACGACGACGACGACGACGACGGACGACGGACGACGGACGACGGACGACGGACGACGGACGACGGACGACGGACGACGGCGGACGACGGACGACGACGACGACGACGACGACGACGACGACGACGAAGTCCAGCGGCCTGGCGGTTTGATGGCGTCGCCGCGCCGGTCGGCCGAGCTGCACGCAGCGGCTCCGAGGGGCCCCGGGGGGCACAGAAGCTGCCTCCGGCCGCCCTCTCCCTCCTCGTCCTCGTCGTCGTCGTCGTCGTCGTCGTCCTCGTTCTCCTTGTCGTCCTCCTGGTTCTCCTCCCCGTCCTCCTCCTCGTCCTCCTCCTCCTCCTCTTCCTCCTCCTCCTCCTCCTCCTCCTCCTCCTCCTCCTGCGAGTTTTCTATCCGATTCGACGACGTACCACGAGAATGAGATGCACATATGGGGATCCAAAGAAATGGGGTTCTTGTTATTGGCGGACCGCGCCGGAGGAACAGAGAGAGAACATAACACCACCTCACCTCCTCTCACTCAGACCCACTCAGACTCAGTCATCACTCAGACTCCCTCATCACTCAGACTCAGTCAGTCACTCTGACTCACGCATCACTCAGACCCACTCATCACTCATACCCACTCATCACTCAGACCCACTCATCACTCGGACTCAGTCATGACCCAGACTCATCACTCATCACTCAGACTCACTCATCACTCAGACTTTCTCATCACTCAGACTCACTCATCACTCAGACTCACTCGTACTTGTACTCATACATTCACTACCTTCACTCAGGTCCACTCATCGGATGACTCACACACACTGATGTTGAGGGTGTGTCAGGCGATTCTATGGCTTCAGCACTCCTAAGGGGAGCGGCGGGGGGGTATTTCCCTCGGCCCCTTTGGCGGGATTTTTGTGGGGATGTCTTAGGCGGTTCGGCCATTCTCTCTTCTAACATGTTTCGCTTTCGGAGCAGTTTGCGAGGATGTCTCAGGCGATTCGCTGGTTTCAGCACTAAGGGGGGCGGCGGGGGGGTATTTCCTTCGGCCCCTTTTGCGGATTGTTCCCCATATCCTAAGTATGGGTTTTTTGTTATTGGCTGACCGCGCCGGAGGAAAGAGAACACACCACTCCTCTCACTCAGACCCATTCACTCATCACTCAGACTCACTCATCACTCAGACCCACTCATCACTCAGACTCACTCATCACTCAGACCCACTCATCACTCGGACTCAGTCATGACTCAGACTCATCACTCGTCACTCAGACTCACTCATCACTCAAACGCAGTCATCACTCAGACCCACTCATCACTCAGACTCACTCGTACTTGTATTCATACATTCACTACACTCACTCAGGTCCACTCATCGGATGACACACACACACACACTGATGTTGAGGATGTCTCAGGCGATTCTGTGGCTTCAGCACTCCTAGGGCGGGATTTTTGCGGGGATGTCTTGGGCGGTTTGGCCATTTTCTCTTCCAACATGTTTCGCTTTCGAAGCAGATTTGCGAGGATGTCTCAGGCGATTCGCTGGTTTCAGCACTCTACGGGGAGCGGCGGGGGGGTATTTCACTCGGCCCCTTTTGCGGGATTTTGTGGATGTCTCAGGCGGTTTGGCCATTTTCTCTTCCAACACGTTTCGCTCCCGGAGCAGATGTGGAGGACGTTCGCGCCCAGTTTGCGGGGATGTCTCAGGCGGTTTGGCCGTTATGATGCTGGGCATATGTCGTTTTCGGAGCAATTTTGGGAGGATGTGTCAGGCGATTTGCTGGTTTCAGCACTCCCAAGGAGGAGGAGGAGGAGGAGGAGGAGGAGGAGGAGGTGGAGGAGGAGGAGGAGGAGGAGGAAGAGGAGGAGGAGGAGGAGGAGGAGGAGGAGGAGAAGGAGGAAACGAGGAGGAGGAGGAAGAGGACGAGGAGGAGGAGGAGGAGGAGATGGAGGACATG